AGCCAGCATGTTGGCTGAGGAATTCTGGGAGTTGAAGTCCACACATCTTAAAGTTGCCAAGTTTGAAAAACACTGATTTACAGAAATCCTACCCCAAGTTGTTTAGGAGAGAAAAAAAATAGTTTACAGTCTGTTCTACTCTACATCTCGGTATTTCCAAATATGGACTGTTTCCAACCTAGCCTCTGTCTTGCTATTCTGGTTCCTCTAATAATGTTCAAGATTTGTAGTCTTGTGCTTTCCCTTCTCTGCTTCCTTGACTTTGCACTTCCACTTTGCTGTTGTGCTTCCATTTCTACCTCTTTCTGTTCTTTCTCATCCTCTGCAACCACTTTCCCCTTGTGCTCAATGGCATATATCCCAGATTTTAAAGGGAATTTTAACAATGTTGAAATGTTAGATGTTGCTGAACTACACCTCCCAGCATCCATAAGGATTGTGGGCAGTGGTGAGGGATGCTGGGCGTTGTAATGCGGCAACATTTAAAGTGCTACAAATTGCTTACTCCTGCTCTAGAAATGAAGCTCTGCTTCCTAGTCCCAACCACTTTGCTCCTTAATCTCTTGGTTTCTGATTTCTTCTTATCTTTAAGAGGTCTTTTACTTTCTTTATGGGATCCATTGTCCTGTGACATCAGTTATCTATCCAGTTGCTGGTCAGGTAGCAGTTCTCTATTCTGACCTTGCTTTATGGTGTATAGAATGCATGATTAACTGGATCTCTGATGGTGCAAAGAGTTCTTCTTTCAATCAAACGAATATGAGTAGAACTCCCATCCAGACCTCCCCCATGTGGGAAGATCTGGGAATGAAGGGATTGTGGACTGCACAGCAGACACACTTTGAGACCTCAGGTATTTTCCAAATGCCTGAATAGGGCTGTTGAGAAATTTGAGTATCGACTTTCTGTTCAGGGCATGAATTATTTTGAAAGCTTTTTCTCATTTAATCTAAGACCTGGAGGATATAGCTGGTGCAAAATGTGGGGCACTCCACCAATCTAGAATAGCACTAATCTTGAAGGCAGTACCTTGGGTACTAGCAGGTTCCCAGGCCCAATTCAAAGTGCTGGTCATTACCTTTAATGCCCTCTACAGTACAGCACTGAGATATATCAGAATTGAATCTGCTTGTCCAGTCATCAGAGGTCTGCTGAGTGGCCCCTCTTATTTGGGACATGGGATGTGGATGAGGTGACAAGCCTTCTCAGTGGTGGCCTCCATTCTATGGAATGCCCTTCATTGGCTTAAAGCGCTATTATTCCAATATGCTTTCAGCCCCTGCTTGATTTGGTCACCCATGATTATAGGGGTTTCAGTTGCTTTTGTACTGTGTTTTTACATTTACATTTTGCTTTGCTGTTCCAGTCCAGAGTTCCTTAGGATTGGGGTGGCCTATAAATGTTGTCAATACCCAATAATTTGAATGCATGTTCCTGTGGAGTAAGATAGAACTAATATCTCTTCAGGTCAAATTGCTTGCACGTAACTAGATAAAATGAAGTTCAAAAATGGTTGGAAGGAGGTCTCTGTTCTATTTTCTTTTGTTGTTATTTGTTGAAAGTAAGTGGGTAACATAGATTATTTAAAGTGGCTTTTCAGAGTAGCACGGCATAGAAAATGTGCTTTTGATGTGGAAAACTGTGTGTGTGTGTGTGTGTGTGCGTCCAGAATCCCAGATTTGGCCTTGCCTAGTTCTAAAAGAATTTTGTCAACCCTTTCTTCAGTCCAAGAGCTGCATTTACTGCTGGATCGCCTCAACAGAGGAAAGGTATTTAGACCTTTCTTCCAAGGGGGTTGCTTTCAATGGAGAAACAAGGCAACTCCCAGAACCCTTAGTGAGTATGCTTATTGGTGAAGGGTGCTAGGAGTTTATGCTTGGTGACATAGCAGGGATGTTAATCTGTTTGGCCTAGTCCTTGCTAACCAGTTGTTAATTGTTCTGTAAGTTCTAAACAGGAGGGTAGCCATCCGGCATCTTTCACATCCACCCAGGCTCTCTGCAAAGAATGGTTACCTCAGTGCTTTCTTGTGATGTGGCAGGAAGTGTGCAGAGGAGATGAAAGGAGTAGCAATTCAGCCCTGACAAAGCACCTACTGATGCCACTCCAGAAGGGCTGGGCTGAGCTGAGCACGTGCTGGAGTGCTGACTCACACCAGCTGGACAGCTAAGCAGGGGGAAGGGAAATGACCTCCCCCAAGAAACTATAGGAAGGCAATCCCAGGTGTGTGAGTCCCACTGCCCCCGCCTCCACTGCTCAGAAATGCTGCTTGCCCCACCCCTTATCTGCTCAATTATGACCTAATTTAGATAATGTCCCTCCAATCTAGAATGAGGCATGGACTTCACATCTCTACTATAAATGAAAACCTTAGGAGGAAAACACATCATCTTTTTTGTTGCTAGAAGTACAACTTCTATTCTTGATCTTATCCTGAGCTCTCAAGGTAGTAAGAATGGAAGTTTCCTGGCATAAAAGTAAATGAAGTATAGAGCAATGAGCACAGGAATGAGAGATACTGCAATTGAAACAGAATCTGGCATAATGAAAATATCTCTCCTTTTTTTTGGTTTGGAAAAATTAGAATCTAAATTCCCATTTGCTGTCAGTGATCCACATTTATTTTTCCTTGAAGTTAGATCTTTGGTTGCTGGATATCTTATTCTAGATTGTGGCTCAGATGTTTCTGGTAAACCTTGGCTACAACCAAGACCAATTCACAAGAGATTCGGACCATGGTCAGCTCACTGTGGAGCAAGATCAATAGAGCCAGGCTCAATGCAAGGTTTGAAATGCTATTCCAGTGATTCTGCTCCCCTTCCCCCCCACTGCAAGAAAAATGCTAAGGCTACAGAAGAATACAGGTAGTCCTCAACTTATGACCACAATTGACCAGAGCTTTCATCGCTAAGCAATGTGGTCGTTAAGTGAGTTGCATCCAATTTTACGACCTTTTTTGCTGCAGTCGTTAAGTGAATCACGTGGTTGTTAGGTGAATCTGGCTTCCCGCATTGGCATAGCTTCTTGGAAGCCCCTTGGGAAGGTCACAAATGGTGATCACATGACCCTGGGATGCTGCAACCATTGTAAATACATGCTGGTTGCCAAGCGCCTGAATTTTGATCACATGATCGCAAGAATGCTGCAACAGTCATAAGTGCGAGGACTAGTCATAAGTCACTTTTTTCAGTGCTGTTGTAACTTTGAACAGTCATTAAATGAATGGTCATAAGTCAAGGACTACGTGTATGCCTGTTATTTAAGCCCCCAAAGGCTGATGATCCTTCCATCTCCTGTTTGTGATGTACTAGCAAACAGATGTTCTCTTGTACTATCGAGGAGGAGGAGGAGGAGGGGATGATGTCCTCAGGAAAGAGAAGCATGGCTGCATCCTCAGTTTGAGCAGGAGAATGCTTTTTTTTTCTCAGGGTCTCCTGAGAAACTGTGGGTGTATGTTTTCATATATGATAGCCATAGGGTTGCCTTCTCCAACTTGGTAACACTGAAATGTGTGGAGCTATAATTCTAAACATTTCCAGCCAGCACACTTAGTGGTTGATGTTCCTCTCCTGCTCTAGAGTACAATTCATTCTATGTTCTTAAGATGATGTGCATGGTACAGATTTGATAGATTTAGCAGGCACTTAATTCATCCATCTGTTGATCCCCATCCTGAGCAATAGACAGCAGAATAGATAATAAATTCATGCAGGATAGCACCAATGCCATACAGTATTCATAGATCTCATTCTGTGAGACTAACATAGCAACCATCCTTCTGCCCATCTGCAGAGCTGCTCTAGGATCTCAGCAAAGCTAGCTGTTGCTCAGATGTAGCAGTGAGCAGCTACTTGTTGCCCCAAACATTTAGAACTAATTCTTTTCCCCTATTATTTAAACAGGTGTTGGATTTATGCACTGTGGTTTATCATTAGTTTTCCTTGTAAACTCTGAGGAAGATCAGCTCCATATGCTTCCTGTGCAACTAATGGTCAAACAAGAGCTATTCAATCTCATTTAGGATTTATGGATGAAAACCAAACAACTGTCAGTGCTGAGTCATATTCTGTGCCAGAAACAGGACCCAGTAGAGTTTCTGCACAGGTGGTATTTGAAAACATCCAGGAGTTGCTAAGAAATCAATTCAGACATTTTTCCATCTAGTCAATCCTCTCTATTAATATTATTCTTTGCTCTGCAAATTCTTCATATGGTGCAAAGTAATCTCTCTCAATGACTTGTTTGTTCCTTACTTCATTGCATGCATGTCTAAGAGCTCAAGATGGTATACACAGTATTTCTCTTCCCAATTTTATCTTTGTGACAATCCTGTAAAGCAGGTTAGCCTATTTTTTAACCTGCTGTAAAGCAGGTTAGCCTATATTTAAGGCTAACCTGCTTTACAGGATTGTTGTGAAGATAAAAAAGCAGAGAAATACTGTGTATACCATCTTGAGCTCTTAGATATGCATGCAATACATTTGTTATCTATTCTGCTATTCTGCTGTCTATTGCTCAGGATTGGGATCAGCAGATGGATGGATGAATTAAGATAGAGAGTTTGGCTCTGTATGACCCACTGAGTTTCATGGCTGAGAGGAGTTTTGAATCCAGATGTGTCAGGTCAAAGCATAATAACCTAAATCACTACATTACTCTGTCCTACTACCATCTTATATGTATATTACATATCCACTCATGTTCATAATCAAAGAAAATATCCTTATGTGCTGCCTTCTAAAAATATTCATATTTATCTTCCTTTAACCACAAATGCTGCTTTTATTTCTTTTATTAATTGTATGAGTGACTGACTTTCCTGCCAAGTTAATTGAATATGAAATAGTAGTATGTTAAGTGAATTGTACTGTTATTTGAACTTCAGCATATTTTCATGGAATAGGCGAACTTGATGAGTACATGATATCACTTTGGGTGTTCAAATCTTGCACTGATTTTGTTTCAAACTATTCTTTTGTATTATCTTTAGGGTCTCATGATTCATTTAGCTTCTATATTGATGAGGCCTCTCCAGTGGGACCCGAACAGCCAGAAACTGTCCAGAATTTTGTCTCTGTGTTTGGAACTGTGGCTAAAAAGCTGATGAGGAAATGGCTTGCAACACAAACAATGAATTTTACAAGCCAGCTGGGAGCAGGGATACGGTATTTCGACCTTCGGATCTCCACAAAGCCCAGAGACCCTGATAATGAACTCTACTTTGCTCATGGTTTATTCAGTGCCAAAGTCAATGAGGGCCTGGAGGAGATCAGTGCCTTTCTCACTGACCATCGTAAGGAAGTGGTCTTGTTGGACTTCAACCACTTCTATGGAATGCAGAAATGCCACCATGAAAAACTGGTTCAAATGCTCAAAGACACTTTTGGGAGTAAAATGTGCCCAGCCATCTTTGCCCATGAAGTCTGTCTCCAGTACCTGTGGGAGAAGGATTATCAAGTTTTGGTGTTTTATCACAGTCCAGTGGCTTTAGAGGTCCCATTTCTATGGCCAGGACAGATGATGCCAGCTCCGTGGGCAAACACAACAGATCCAGAAAAATTGATCCAGTTTCTCCAGGCATCAATCATTGACCGAAGGAAGAAGGGCTCTTTTTTTATATCTCAGGTGGTGTTGACTCCAAAGGCTAGCACTGTGGTCAAAGGGGTCACTAGTGGTCTCAGAGAAACAATCACAGAAAGGTGAGTACCTGCCCAAATACTGAGATATTCTCAGATTGATGATAGTTTCTCTCTTTACTTCTGTAAGCTTCTATTAGTTAAGGCAGAGAGCCCTTTCATATGGCCTGTCCCCCATTACAACTATTATTAGTGATGACCAAAACACTAAAATATGCACACAGAAATGCCACACTCATCTTAACGAAAGAACAATACTCAAGTGCATTCAAACACTGAATCCATTAACAGTGGATAGAAGTAGGAACACATTACCAAGTTCATAACAATTCCCTGTTGTATTTCAAAGGAAGTGTTAAGACTACACCATAGGCAAGCTGCCACCAACCTAATGTTGGCATCCCATGTCTATGTTGCCATGATGCTATGGGGCTTGGGAAGTTGAATCAGCTAACTAACGACTCACCTTCTGCTCCAGAGGAAACATTGCAAAGAGACTTTGCATATTTCCTCTGGAAATGTATGGACGATTGTTTTCCATTGGTGGGAATTCCCACCTCCTGGCTCCCTAGATTTCCCTCTTCCTTCTTTCTCTTCCTCTCCATTTGTTCCAAGGATGGCTTTAATGGTCCCACTAAACAGTTGCTTATTGACTCGTCCTTCTTTTTCCTTGCCAGAAAAATAAATTTGGAAAAGGAAGGAGAGGGAAGAGTCTCTATCTTCATCCAAGTTCTGTGATCCTTCAGAGAAAAGGAGAGGAGGGAATTGGACATTGCACAACTAACAACATCCATGCTTACATATCCCCAGATCACACTGATTGTGTATGAATATTGGATATGTTTTCCAGTACGAGCTGCCAGAATATTAATTATGATCATTTGCATTTAAACTTTCTGTCGTCAACCATAAGTAGAAAATATCAGGTTTTAGCAAGCTGAGTAAAACATAAATATTAGGAAGGGCCCTGAAATTGTGATTAGTGTGAATCTTTGGAAGTGACTGGGTAGAAAATTTCTGTTTCTCAGAGGCTTAAGAAGATTCCTCTATGTGCAGGAGTATTAGGAAGACCAATTGTAATAGGAGGAGAGTTCATATCACCTCAGCAATGGATTTTTTGTACATGAGAAAATACGGAATCCTTCAACCTTTATGATGGCAAAGATGCTGAGACCTTTCTGTTAGTGCCCTATCCCATAAGAGAGAACTGTAGCTTTCAGAATTCCTTTAGGAGAAGATGATTGTTATAGTCATTTTAATATAGACAAGATGGCGAAGGCATTTTGTGATGCAAGACAGGATGCCTTTTCCCAGTCATTCTGCATATGGAAGATATGAAAAATGCTTGTACATGAATAATCAAAAAACCTTTGATCTGTTCAGTAGTAATTGTTATATCAAGTTTGTCTTCTTAGTAAGTGTGAATTTACCAAATATAATTAATAATATTGCTCAGCCCTTACTGCCATCCTGTACTCTAATTTTTAACATTTATTTTTTTAAATGGTGCTAGGTTTTTGTGGAGTTCGGATCAGTTGATTAAGAGGAATGGTGCAGGATAGGAAAGATTTACAATGAGCTGTGAACTTCATGACTGTTGCTGAGTTAGTGCATAATGCTAAGCCAGGATTTGTTTATTCATGCTTTGTTGAATAAGCCATAATGGTCAGGTTCGCATAAGTCATAATATAAGAGTTCACAAGCATTAAACCATATATGGCTTAGCATTATGTGTGAACTGGTCCCGTAGATGGACTAGCACATTCTCATTCTTAAAGCAGCCACAGTGAGACTTCAAGTCACACAGACTTCAGTGGGCCTGTTCTTGGAAAGATCTGGGAGTCTTGCCTAATATTCCTCACTGAGCAAAGAATTAACCTGGAACCTGGAATTCACTATTCAGAGCCAGCATGGAATGGAGTGGCATAGAAATCTTAGTAATAAAGAAAACTGATCAACTGACCAGTGATGAACTGATTTCCTTCACTAAATAACCGTCTACTGAAGTTGTCACTCTGCAAGTGGGGAAAGACAGATTGCTTGTATATCTACACTCCCATAAATTAAAATTGTTTCTAAAACACATGAGCTAGTAAAAAAATTGAGGGGATCTTGAAATATGAAATCCCCATCTGATTAACGAAGGACTACTCTAGAAACCTTCCCTTGAATGAGATTTAGAATGGGATGTCTCTGCTGGCCAGGGCTCTGTGCAATTTTAGATGGGCTTGGGCTTGACTCTGGTAGTTACAACCATGCTCTAGTTTCTTCCTATGAAGCCTTCAGATGCAGAAAAATGTTAGGATGGAGGATGGTCACAGGAGTGGAAGAGAGTCAGTATCTTAGCACATTCTTTCTTATGCATCGTCTTCCTTTCCTTTCCTTTCTTGCTGTTTTTGTTTACTGCTTCAGCTTACTAAAGAACACATATCTTCTGATGTGATCGCTGCAACAATACTTACAGGAGTTTTATAAAATATAATATACCACATGTAAGTGGTATGCCCTCCCCATTCTAAAAGGACACTCCTATGTATGTGCAGATCTATGCAGGTTTAACAGGTCATCCTCGAAGTGTGCGCTCAAAAGAAAATTGCATTAAGATCACATTGTCTTGCATTGCATCTCTCACATTGCATTGTTTATGTGTATTTAATTATTGTGCTTTTTTGGATTAGGTACAGAGAGGTTACTGTTTTTATTTTTGTGCTGTTGGTATGTTTTTATGTATTGTTAGACACCCAGAGTCACTATTTTGAGATGGGTAGCCATATATTTAAATAAATGAATATAATCACTGGAGATACTTGCAGGCAAATGGAATGCAGCCTTAATCCAGAAAATCATTGATTATCGCCAATCTGATAAATGCACCCACCTTTCTTTAAGTGGGCAATTTTTCTAATAGGGACTGTATTTGTCTTGAGTAGTTTCCATTGTCCATAAATGCATTAATATTGCATTAATTTGAATTAGGTAGCTGCTGTTCTACTGGAGAGCAGAAATACACGTAGTCAGTCTTGAGATCTTTACAGATAGCTTTCTCCATAGTGAGGCAACGTAAGCCCATAACAAAGCATCTTGCGCTGATGCTGTGTGTTGACGCACAAGCACAGTCCCACCTGCCAGAACACTGTTTCTCTAATGCAGATGGAATTAGGAGGGCACAGTTCATCTTTTCTCCCTGGAAGCAAAATGGATTTGCTCTTCCCCCACCTCACTCCTTTGAGCACCACAGCAAATGTACAATGCAGGAACATCACTGTAATCAAGATGAAAGGAAGCAAACCCCCTATAATATAACTCAATAGTCAATATACTGTATCTGTTTTAGACTGATTACAGGGTTCTGTTGTTGGTACCAATCTCAGGGGTCTATTAATTTGAAGGAAGAGTGATATCAAAATATCAGTTGTCATGCAAGAACAGGAGGAGAAGATTCCTCAGAGCTCTTTCTCCAATTCTCCAAAGGTGGCTTGGCTTAATATTGTATACCTGGCAATTGGCAAAAAATGACTGGCAAGATTGAGCAAGATACCTGCATCTTAATTTCCTTAATAAATGTAGAGAAATCACAGTCTTAGCTGTATTGGTAATGCAGTATTCTGAGATGCTGTGTCACCCATGGGCTGGGTTCAATCACAGTCTTAGCTGTATTGGTAATGCAGTATTCTGAGATGCTGTGTCACCCATGGGCTGGGTTCACAAATGGTGAACCCAGGACTCAAAAATAAGTATACAATCTTTTAAAAAAAACAGCCCAAATCT